ATATATATTAATATATTATAATGAAAAACAAAATAAAATAAAAATTAACCTGTTATGATATGATATATATTATCTTTTTAATTATTTCATTTTATTGTGCTGGTTAATAAAAGGCTTTATTAACCTTTTTGGAAAATAAAAGGACTAGTTGAAAGAAGAATACGAAGTTGGTCATGCACACACAAAGGAAAAAAAAAAATTATCAATTTTTTTTGTTTGTATTTTTTTTAAAAAAAAAATGCAAAGATTGTCAGGAAAAAAAAAAAAATTGATAAAAAAAAAAAAAAACAATTGGAAAAAGATTTGTTACCAATAAATAAAAATAAAAAAAAAAAAAGGTTTTTTTTTTTTTGGAATAAAATATGATTTTAATGAATATTGTAAGAGAAAATTTTATACATATAATAATAAAATTTTCATATAATTAATATTTATATAATTTTTTTGTATTGTCAATAACTGTTTATGTTAATTCAACAGCAATATATATTAATTGCTGAATGTAACTCATAACAAAAAAATAAGTAATATACATTTAATTAATAATCAATATTCAATAAGGATATAAATTTTTAATAAAAATAAGGATTTTTATTAAAGTAAATAAATGCCCATTAAAATTAAAGAATGCTGAATGAAGTAGATTGCATAATTAAGGATCACTCGTTCAGAGCATTTAAAAATATATATAAATACATCAAAACCGTAGAGGCAATTCTACATGCTCTTTATTAATTTGATTGTTTAGTACTCTAGTAAAGTTACCGAACACCCAATTAATAAAACATGTGCTATGCAAGGTTCCTTTTTTCTCTTTATTTTCTATTTTTCATATGTTTTATAATTTTTCATAATATTATTTGTGTATCAATAAGCTAGATTAATAAAAAACAATAAAAATAAAATTCTATTATAATGATAATAAGAAATATTTTTTGTTTCTCAGAATTTTCATTTTAAAAGACATTTATATGTAAAAAAAGCGTAATGTTAAGAATTTATTAAATATTATATTTATTCTATAAATATTTCTTAAACATATATATTATGTTTTTTTCTTTGTCCTCCTTTTTTATTAATTATGTTAATATAAATAATATATATAATTATTTTAAAAACTATATATTGTCACTTTTATTTTATTTGATTTTTATTTCTGTTGAATCTTACTTTTCTCAATGCATCCTAATAGTGAAAAAAACATTAACTTTTGTAATGGAAAAAAATTTCTGAGTTTCATATAATAATTTAAATTATACTAGTTTAAATGAAAATACCTTTGTGTATTTATAAATAATTTGAGTTTATAGTTTGCTAAGAGAGTAAGGATATAAATTAAATAAAAAAAAAAAATTATAATATATTTTCGTAAAATCTTTTATTAGTTAATAAGGGAATTATTAACCTTTTTGATAATAAAAATTAATACATGTATGAAAAACATACTCTTAAACGTACACAAGTGCTAGTATTATATTAGAAAAGCAAAATAAAATTCTATTAATTTTTTTTATTTCTTTTTATAGGTTACATGTTTTCATTAATTTTTAATATATTTTTTTTAATTTTTTTTTTGGAGTAATTTTTAGTGATAAATTCCTTAGAGATTTTCAAAGAAAATTTTATTTTTTCAATAATAAAACTTTATTGTCTACAATAAGTTTGTTTTTTAACATTTAAATATTTTTAGTAACTTAAAATCAATTGACATGAATTTCTTAACTTTATTCATAAAATTCTAATTAAAAGATTCTGTACTTAAAAATCAGTAGTGAAGATTTATGCTTTCATTAAGAATATAGGATTGTTATTAAAATAAATAAATGCCTCTATAAAAAGAAATAATGCTTAACTACAAAAATATTGCATTAAATTAATTAGAGAAACTTTAAATGCTCTTCATTAACTTATTAGTTCAATAATCTAAAAAGGATATTTAATGAATTATTGGTTAATAAAAGGTGTTATTAACCTTTGTGATAATAAAAATTAATATTTATATTAAAAACACAGACATGCATGTGATAAATAAAAAAAATAAAAATGTAATATTTTTTTTTAGAGGAATGAAAAATAATAAATTTTGAGAATTCTATTTAATATTTTAAAATGAAAAATTTATACTTACAAAAATAAAATTTTCGTTCTCGTAATGTTTATATGTGTATTAAATTTGAGTTTTAATAATTACTTTTGTTACATTAATAGAAATTTTTTAGAATTAATAAACATTTTTCATAAAATTATGATAAATATTTAATTAAAAGCCAATATTAAAAGTAGATTTATGTTTTTAGTAAAAAATATAATTTTTATTAAATTAAATAAATGCCCCTTAAAAATAATAAATTCTTAACGAAGACCATATAAATACAGTTTACTAGTTTATAGCATTTAAATTATATTTAAAACCATTAAACTAATAGAGGAAACTCTATAAGCATTTTAACAATCTCTTTGTAAAAATAATTGAAAAGGAAATTAATAAATCAACTATTAATAAAATTTTTAAATAGTTACAATTAAATTATGAAATTTTATTTTAAATGTGTGTATTTTGTAAATTTCTATTATTCAGTTTGTTAACTTTATATATAATTATTTTACTTTTAAGTTATTATATATTCATACAATTAATTTTTTCTTTATTTTTATTGGTTTTTCATTCATCATACTTTTAAATACTCTATAATTATTTTGTTAGTTATTTTTTAAATAATTTATTTAAATATATTAAAAAAAAGAAGATACGTATTATAATCATTTCTCTAGTAATTTTTTTTCATACTTATAAATATCTCAGATATTATAAAGTACTCTAAAATATTCTTACCTTAAAATCAAACATTATTAATATATTTTTCTTTTTATTAATATAAATTTGTAAATTTAAGTTATTTTATTTATGATCGTAATTAACGAAAATTAAAATTATATATTTAATTTTTTAAAATTAATTTAATCTAGTTAAAATTGAGAATAATTTATTTTAATAAATTATTTTATTATTTTTTTTTGTTCCAAGAAAAAAAAAAAATTAATGCGAATATTTAATTTTCAATATTTAAAATTTCTTGATATGACGAATTACATATGTAAACTTATGAAAAATGGAATAAAAAAATTACAAATAAAATATAAAAATAGCAATTTCGATAAAACGAAAACTTTTTATAAATATAAAAAAAAAAAAAATCTCAATAAATTAAAAGAATTTGTAAAATAAAAACTATAAAAATATTTAAAAAAAGTAAATATAAATTGAAAAAATAAATAAAAAACATAAATTTTTATCTCTATTTTTGTTATAATAAACTATATGATAATCTACTTTAAAAAACATTCATATTTTAATAAAAATATTAAAAGGAACTGATAAATAAATTTTAAATACAAGATCAATTATTTATTAATAAAAAAACTCGATATACAGAATAGAAAAAATAAAATATACAATATAATTTTGTTAAGTTCAACTAAGAAAAAAATTAATGTTAAATACACCATGGAAATTAAATAACATTTCGAATTTATAAATTAAAAGAAAAATGAAGTATATGTGGGTTGCATGAAGCCATTAATCATTGCTATATAAGAAAAAATTATAGCATGCACAATTATAATATTAATGATAAATAAAAAACAAAATAAATAAATGCAAAAATAGGGTTAATGTAATTTTTGGTTATAATTGCAATTACTTTTGACTTATGTTAAATTAAAAATTATAAAATGAAGCTTCGTGAAAACGAAAATTATAGTATGTTAAACCTTTAGTAACAATAATAAACAAAATAAAAATAGAAATTATATAAATATGAATTTACGTGAAATGGAATAATAGTAGTATTCGTAATATAAATTAATATCATGTCAATAACGGATAAATATAAATTGCAATATTAAATATATCTAATTGATCATTTAAAGATCCATGCAACTATGGAGCGACAAACCGATGAATATTAATAATTTTACCTTAAATAATAATTTTAGTGAGATAAAAATAAGAAAAAAGGTAAAAATTTAAATTAAACGGAAAATATTAAAATGAAAAAAACAAATTAAATATCAACTTAAACAATGTTAATTATGAAAATCGATTCTGTTCTTATTTTATTATTCATATATTGATAAATAAATAGAAAACAAAAATTAATAAGTAAAATAGGTATAAACAAGCTCTAATTAACCTATTTTATAATTGATGTACTACTTTATAAAGATTCCTTTTTAATTGAGTAATAATTTTAATATTTCTTTTAAAAAAATAAAACTTAATGTTATTTCATAAGAGAAATTTGTGAAATTAAAAAGTTTTAAATCCATTTATAATTAATAAATGTATGTAAATACTTTTCTTACTTTCCTTTTAATTGATATGAGCACACATTCAGAAACCCTATAATTAATCATTTTTTTTTTTTAATTTTATCACGTTTAATTTGTACAAATACCTCCTTACACAATGTTTAGGTTGCTAATTTACAGGATAATAAGAAAAAATAAGAGATAATTTTTTTTTATTTAATCTTAATTTATATCAAATTTCTTCAATTTTATGAGACTTACTTTTTTTAACGTCAATACTTGACATTTTAAGGTAGATTTTATTATATATTTTTCTTTATTTTTAATTCATTATATATTTATACAAAAATATAAGCTTTATTTTGTTTTGTGTTGTTTTCTTTTTTTTTTTTTTTTTTTTTTTTTTGATGTTTCTTTTTTTTCTGTGTGTACAATGTATGACAACGAATTTATATATTTTATTAGATATATTCTATTTTGAAAATGTATTATGAATATTAAACTTAGTCATTTATATTTATAATAAAAAAATTATTATAATTTAAAAGAAAGGGTTATAACAATATTTTTAAAAAATAAAACAAAAAGAAGTATCTTATATCCATATCTATATGGAAAATAATTCATTAATAAAAAAAATATCATATATTTAAATTTTTAGTAAAAAAAGAATTAAATTTACGTAAAATATGAAAAAAAAAAAATTTAGGGTGACCTTTTTGAGTTTACTATTTGCCTTATTTGGTAATAAAATTTATATATACGCACATTTATGTTTATATTTATTTTATATTTTTAAAAATTTAAATATTTTTTATGCTGTAATTTTCTTTAATTTCCCTTATATATATATAAAGGTATAAGTCATGAGATAGAAGATAAGAATGCATTAAATAAATTCAAATATAATGATAACAATTTATTATTTTATTCAAATATAGAAGAAAGTAAAGAATTAGAAAATAATTCTATAATAAGATACAATAATAAAGGAAAAGAGAAATATAAAACTTTTAATAATTTAGGCGAAAATAGATACAATAAAAGAAGTAAGAAATTTAGAAATGTAAATATAAAAGCATCGCATTCTCCTAGAAGTATATCATCTGTTAAGTTAGGAAATTCTAATGAAAATACAAATGCATCATATTTTTCTTATATAAAAAAAAATACTCCATATTCCTCAAATACATATATTATTAAAGAAGAAAATGGAAAAGATAAAGTAAATGGAATTACAAATTCTTTTATTCACACGGCAAGCATAAGGTCAATTGAATCAGATACTTTGAAGGAATACGATTCTTTTATGAGATTAATTGACGAAAAACTTACTAACGCTAAAAATTCATATATAATTTCAAATTCTTATGGTGAGTTAAAATCCTTTTTTAATGATTCTCACAGGACTAAATTTGTAAGACATTCGTCAAATGTGGTTTCAACGCTCATTGATTGTGATTTTAATCTTATAAAATTCTGCAAAAATTCTAAAGTAGAAATGAGAAAAAAATTTTATGATTTATTGTTACTTTCAGAAGATGCAGAAAAAAGAGACTTATTTAACAATGATCTTCGCCTTTTTAAATCAAAAATAAATGAGGATATAAAAGCTGCAACTAATTATTATAATGAATGTAAAAAGAAGGATGAGAAGGCTTTTCTTTTGGTAGATAATTACATAAAAAAAGAATTTTGTAATAACCAAGGATGCAATCCTTATAAATGTAGTTCACGTGTATGTACTTATGTATTACTGCATATGTATAAAAAAGTTATTAGATATTATTTAGTTGCAAGAAAATTACATAAAGAAGATGAAAACTTTTTACGAGAAGTTGAAAATTTTTTGAATTACGATAAAATATTATTAAGAATTAAGGAAGAAAGTTTTTGTAAAAAAAAAGCTAAAAATTCTTTAAAGGTTATAATAGAAGAAATTATGGATATAAAAGATAACTATAAAAAAAATATAGATGCTATACGTTACAATTATGAAATGTTAGATATTGCAGAGAAAAATTCAAATAATAAAAGTTTTAAAAAGTCTACCATTACAAGAGATCTTAGTTATATTACATCATTAGGTATGGGACTTCATCATTATAAAATATGGAATGAAAAATTAAAGCAACTTTTTTATGTATTTAAAAGCGATACTTATAGTATATATATAAAAGAAGTACAAAATTTTGGAAGGGAAATAATATTATTAACTTATCCTGAAAGTGTAAAATCAGAGAGTGAACAAATTATTTTAAATTCTCAGGAAATATTTAATAATATAAAAAGCATAATTGGTAAATATGTGGAAAGCTTAGAATATTTATCACGTGCTTATAATAGTCCAGAAATTATTAGCATCCAAAATGAACTCAATACATTATGTGGTGAATTATCTTTGTATAATACCAGAGTGGAGGAAAAAATGAATTTGCTGAATGAAAAGTATAACTCTATTAAATCAAAGCCCATTAATATAGAAAAATTAAAGAGTGAATTGCCACTAAGTAAAGAAAATAATTTAACTGATGTTACAGAGAAAATTTTAAGTATAAAAAAAAATATTGAAAATATTATAGCAACAGCAAGTGATGATCTTAGTATATTAAGAGATAATTATAGTGATTTACAAAGATTAAAAAATGAAATTAGCAGCTTAGATAAACAAATTAATGAAAAAAAAAGCAATCTACAAAAATTAAAAGGACAAGAGGATAAAAACAAACAAATTTCCATACAAAAAATAAGACAATTCTTGGAAGAAATGAGCAACAAAAAAAATGATTTACAGTTAATTATTAATTTAAAAAGTAGTGAAAATAAAGATCTTAAAATTATTGAAATATTAATAAATGAAACATCCTTTAATGATGAAAAATATCTAAGAGAAAAACAGGAAGTAAACGAAAAAATTGACTCAGCATTAAGATCTTTATTTGAAGATGGAATGCTAGAAAAATTATTTGAAGAAATATCACAGTTTATAGCTGAAAAAAAATCACTAAATTATGAAAATTATAGTTTAGATAGAATTAATGAGCTTCTTGAGGATACAACAAAAAAGCACACTAAAATAGTTCAAGGAGTAAAGGACGCTTCGTCAATTGTAGAGAATGATATAAAACCCGCAAATAATAAAATTATAGATCTTAAGAATAGTATTATAACAAAATTACTTGATGATTTGCACAAAAAAATGAATAACTCATTAAGTGACTTTAATAGAATATCTAATTTAGCATCTACAAATATAGATAACTATGAAGCAAACAAGGATACACTTAAAAGTTATGAAAATAATATAGTAAGGAGAAAAAATGAATTCCTGAACAATTTTTTTGAGGACGATAATGATGTACTAGAAGGAACAAATATCTTTCAAAAAACATTAGACCTTGAAAACACAATTTTTGATAATAAAAATGAAATTAAAAAACAAATTAGTGATGAAGAAGATTCTGTAAACACTATAAGAGAGCATTTAGATCTTTACAATAAATTAAATCTATACTTCGATATATGCCCAGACACTAAAATTGTTGATAATATTAAATCTATAAAAGAACAAATTGACAAGATAAACGTTCATAATAAATTAAGTGAGCATCAGATGAAGTTTAATAATGCAACTACCTCAATTGAAAGTAGTATAAACCTAATCAATTTTTCAAATTCAGTTATTGAATCTTCTAAAATTTTAAATAATATTATAAATGAATCCAATAAAAACAAATTACTAATTGATAATTTAAAAGAAAATGCTGATACTTTAAGAGATAAAATAATTAAAGAAACTATTATAATAAATGGAGAACATTTAATAGAAGAAAATATAAAAGCTAAATATTTAAGTAAATTAAAAGAGAAAGAAAGCGATACAGATGATAAAATACATAAAGTTAATGATCTAGGGGAAAAATCAAATGCAATTCTGCAACTATCTAAAAAATTAAAAGAAAATGTTCGTAATGCTCCTACCGAGGAAAATGTTAAAACTCTTTCAGAAAGTATATCAAGGAAAAAAGTTGATTTGAGAGATATTATAGATAAAATAAATGAAACAAAATTATCAGTTGCATCATTAAATTTAGAAATTGATAACATAATTAATATCCAAAATACCGAAATTTCGAATTTATTTCATAATCGTATAATTGAATTAGATCAACAAATAAATGATGAAACAGAAAAAAATATAGATATATTAGAGAGAACTAAGAGAAATTCTGAAAATTACAATTCTGAAAATGATATAAAAAACCTTATTAAGGAAAATAATAAAGAAATGCTAAAAAAAGCATCTCAACTTATTATCAATCTTATAGATATAATTGAATCACATAAAAATAAATTAGTAAGTATTAAAAGTGAATCTAAAGAACAAGTGAATTTATCAAATTATCAAAAACACAATAATGAAAACTCAAAAGAAAAAAAAGATAATATAAAAAAAATTTATGAAAAAATGAACGATATTATGGAAAGATTAAATGCAGAAAAAGAGAAATTAAAACCTTCGTTAATAGATATAAATATAAAAGTATTAGATTATAAAAAAATAATAATACATGATATCATATTTCAAATTAACGATGAGAAAAAGAAGTCTGAAGAAAAAATAGAGGCAATTAATTTATATAAAGAAAAAATTGAACAATTAAAAAAAAATTCAATGATTATGACATTAAATGGATTGGAAAATCTTAATTATGAAGATTATATTAGAAAATCTCAAGAAAATCAAAAAAAAATAATAATGTTATATCAAGAGGTTACAACAATAAATGAACAAATCTCCAGTATTACGCCAGAAGATAATATTGATAATATTAAAATAAATATTGAACATAAATTGAAGGATATCAAAAAGGAAAAAAATGATATAGATCATGCATTAAATGAAATTAAAAATATGGAAAAAATGTTAATGAATACAAATTTTACTAATATTATGGAAGATATGAAAAGAGATACACAACTATCTAAGAAAGAAGAAGAAAATGCAAAAGAGCAATTTACCAAGTCAGAAACTATAAATAAAGAAATATTAAGTGATATTAAAAAGGTGCAAGAGCTAAAAGACTTACTTATAAGTAACCAAGATGAAGCATCTATTGATGGAGCTATAAAGGAAATTAAAATTATTAAGGATCGTGTTACAACTAATGAAGAAAATATAAATGACTTTTTAACAAAGGCCGAAGAACATAAAGAAGCTACAAAAATTTATTTTAATAATATAAAAAGGGGAAAAAATAAAATGGAATATTTAAAACATCACGATCAACATGAAAAAAAAAAAATAACAGAAAATATAATAGATTCAATAAATAAATATGTGAATGAATCTGAAGAATGTTTAAATAATGCAGAAAAGCATTTTCTAGCAACACGTAAAAATTGTGAATTATCTTCACAATATAAACAAAATATGAATGATCTTTTTTATGAATCTTTATTCTTAGCGGAAAAAATGAAAATTGAAATGAAAAAAAGTTATGTAACAAATATATTTTCAGGAATTAAAGATGAATATACTAGTATTCAAAAATTATTAGAAAAATTAGGTAAAAGACTAAATATACTAAAAGAAGATGTAAATATAGAGGAAGAATATGAAGCAAATAATGGGAATTCTACAGAAGCATATTCCCAAATTCAAATTATAAGAACAAATGCAAATAATGTTCTATTAAATATGGAGGAAATAAAACAAAGAGTACTAGAAATTTTAAATAATTCTCAAAATGAAGTTGAATCAATTCCAACATATTCTGGAAGAGATGAATTTACTCTGAGTAACTTAGAGATAAAGCAAAATGATTTAAGAATTGTTTCAGAAATTTTAGAAAAGCTAGAAAAAAAAAAAAGCACGTTAAACATTGAATTAACAAAACTAAAAGACATAGAAACTAATGTTAGTAGTATGGAAGGTGAAATGGAAATATCTAAAAAATCCTATGAAGAAGGAATTCTTAAAAAAATAAAGAAAATAGCATATCAAAAGAAAGAAGCCATAGAATCCTTAAAAAAATCAATAAATTTAATTATTAGCACAACAGTGACCTTCTTTAGGGAGTCTTCAGCAAAAAAAAAAGATGTTGAACTCATATTTGAAGAACATAAGAATACAATGAATACTATATGTGAATCATTTGATAAATCATATGAAGCTATAGAAAGCTCTATATTGTGTATTTTAGACGTATCTACAACTTACAATGATATGAAAGAGAAAAAAAAAAAAGCCCAAATAGAAATAAAAAAACTTGAAGAACAAGAAAGGGAATTGGAAAAGTTGATGGATAATATAAACAATGCTAAAAAAAAAGAAGTTTTAAGATTTATATTTGATATGAAGGAAGAGTTACATAAAATGAATGAAAAATCTGAAGAAGAGAATTTTCAAGTAAGGGAAAATGTAGAAAGTATTAAAAGGAATATTGAAAATATTAAAAATTCAGATAATGTAAGTTCTGCATTGAATGAATTGAATGAAACAAAAATCAAATATAGTGAAATAAAAAAAAGACAACTAGAGCATTCCTCTTATAAAGATAAAGCAAATAATGTTTACGAGGAAATAGATAAAGCAGCAAAATTTATAGGTATAGATATAGAAACGGAAACAAAATTTGAAGGTTACGAAAATATAATTAATGCAAAACAAACTATTTTAAAAATTCAGGAAATTTCAAGCGATATAAACATAAAATTAGAGGAGAGTGAAAATATTAATATTTTAGCCGACAATATTTATGAACAAGCAAAATTAAGAGATGAGTTAAAAAAAAAAACAAAATATATGATAAATAAAATTGATGATATTTTAGGCAAAGTGCAAGGTGCACATGAAAAATATGAAAAAATAAAAGAGATAAATATTGATAATGAATACTATGATGAAATTTTAAAAAAAGATAAAGAGTATGAAAATTTTAAAAAACTATCAACTTCTTATTTAAGTGAATTAAATAAAATTGATAGAGAATTAAAAATTAATACAATAAAAACTGAACTTAATGATAATAAGGATTCTTTAAATAATTTAGAACAAATTATTGAAAAATCAAAAATGGAAGAATCTTCTCTGACAGTATTAGAAAAAGCCAAGAATGATATCGATACAATTACGGAAAAAATAAACAATATGCATGATAGTGTTATAGAAGTAGAAACATCTTTTAATGAATTACTAGAACAAGGAAAAAACTGTAAATTATCTTTAAAATCATTAATAATTACAACTATTAATGTTGAAATATCAAAAGAATTGTTAACTATTCAAAAAAAAAAGGAGAATTCCACATCATGCGTAGAATACATAAAAAATGTCTACAGCTCCATTACTAATGATATTAATAGTTTGAACAAAAGTTATAATGAAAATCACTTAAGTATTTATAAATCGAACAATGTTGAAAATGCAAATAATTTTTCAGAAGAATTTAAAAGAAAAGAAGGAGAAATAATGAAAATAATTGAAGCTATTCAGAATTCAATTCTAGAAGTAGATGATAATAAAAATATAAATGAATTGGATGGGAAATTAAAAGAATTAAAAAACCTTTATAAAAAATTCAAAGAAGAAGAAATGTGCATAAATGATATTTATAAAAATATCAATTACACCCAACTAAAAGAAATGGAAAAAATTTCTGAGAAATTTATTGATTTAGCAAAATCACACGAAAATATTATAGAAACTCAAAAACATAAATTTTTAAACAATCAAAATAAATTAAAGGAAATTGAAGATTTTACAAAGAAAAAAGAACAAGAAATGCTTCTCACTGAAAATACAAATTCAGATTATTTGCAAAAAATTAATAGTATTTATGAAGAGATTACGCATAAAGTTACAAAATTAAATGAATTTGAGAATGATAATAGTAGCGAAAACAATAAAATGATCTTATATGAAGAAAAAATTTCTTATTTAATAGAAAGAACAAAATCAATATTGAAAGATATAGAGCAGTACCAATATGAAAACGATTATGATTTATTAGAAGTAAGAGAGAGGACATTAGAAGATGTTAATAATTATAAAAAAGAAATTAAGAAAAAAATAAGTGAATCAAAAGAAATTTTTGAGAATATAAAAAATAATATAGAGAAAAATAAAGGACTTTTTCAGGAAATTAGTTATGCTATTTCGTCTATTCATGTTATTATAAAAAGTTTAAATCAAATGAAAACAAATCATCAAAGGAAATCAATTGAACAAGAGGAAAGTACAGAAAATCATTTAGAGAAAAGTATAAAAAATCATTTAGAGGAAAGTACAAAAAATCATTTGGAGGAAAGTACACAAAATAATTTAGAGGAAAGTACACAAAATAATTTAGAGGAAAGTACACAAAATGAGTTAGAGAAAAGTACAGAAAATAATTTAGAGAATAGTACAGAAAATCATTTAGAGAAAAGTATAAAAAATCATTTAGAGGAAAGTACAAAAAATCATTTGGAGGAAAGTACACAAAATAATTTAGAGAATAGTACAGAAAATCATTTAGAGAAAAGTACAGAAAATCATTTAGAGGAAAGTACAAAAAATCATTTGGAGGAAATTTCAAAAACAGAAAATACAGGTGTTTCAATAAGAAATAATATTAACAAAAATTTTCATCATGGTAAAAGTCATCAAGAATCAAATGAAAAGGATGAAAAAAAGAAAAAAAGTAATTTTGTTAATGAAACAGTTAGAATCGCAGGGGGAATATGTGGTGGTTTATTGGTATGTTCATGTGTTATTTTTTCTATTTTATATAAAAATGAAAACTCGGAAAATGATTTTGATGATAATGATGTACTAGAGTATGAAAATTGTAGTCACTTGGGTGATTCATGTCAAAAAGATGAAACTATAGAAGTAAATTTTGTTGAAGAGGAAAACTTTTAAAAAAAAAATTATTTTTGTTTTTTAACATTATATAATTTTTATATATACTTTCCTTTATATATTTTAATTTCCTTTTACAGAATATTTTAAGTATATTTTTGTTGTTTATTCTTTGTTGCAATTATATTTATATTTTATCTTTTTTTTTGTTTTTTTATTTTTCTTGCTTTTTTTGTATTATTTATTCTTTTTTTTTTGTATTATTTATTTTTTCTTTTTTTTTTTTTTGTATTTTTCATTTTTTCTCATTATAAATTAGTTTAAGATTTAAAAAAAAATTTTGTTCATAATTTTATTTAATGTATTATAAAAACTCCATGGTAGATATACTATTTTGTTAATGTATTAATTGTCTATTAAGGAAATTTTTTAGTATATTGAACAATTAGTCAAAGATATTATTAATCTTTTATGGATCAATAGTAGCTTATACAGATAGTTAATAAAAGGTAATATAACCTTTTATAGAATAAAAAATTATTAGATACACAGAAAATACATAATTCTCACTGAAGAGATAGCTAAAAAGAAAAAAAAATTATTAACGATTAATTTTCTTTGTATTTTTTCTAAATTAAAAAAAAAAAAAAATGAATTCTGAGAATTAATTTTATTTGACATTTTAAGAGAAAAATTTATGCTACATTAATAAAATTTTCATATTTGTTGTATTTATATAATTTAATTTATATTATATTGATTACTTATGCTTGTTTATTTGAAATCATTAGATTTGAATTATTAAACATTACTCATAATATTATAAATAAATTATATGTAATTAAAATCAATAATTAATGAGGATTTAAATTTTTAATAAAAATAAAGATATTTATTAAAGTAAATAAATGCCTCTTAAAAATAATAAATGCTAAATGAAATAGACTATATAAATACGGTATACTAATTTGTAGTATTAAAATTATATTTAAATTCGTTAAATTATTAGAGGTAACATTACATGCTCTTTACTAATATATTTACTCAATACTCTAGCAAAGTCAGTGAATAGACAATTAGTAAATCAATGGAAAATATTTAGTCACCCACATCTACTAGTTAAAAAAAAAAAGTTACTATTTTTATTTTTATACTGTTAATTATATTATTTATTTATTTTTTTTTTTATTGGATAATTATTTTGTTTTGATATGTAATTTAGTCAAATTTAATTCATTCTTTTTGAACAATAAAAAAGTGAAATTCAATACTTTAAAAGGAAAAATAAAAAGAAATTCGTTATTGTTTGTATTTAAGTTTTTATGCATTTTAACATAGTACAAATAATATGAATTTAAACGTTGCTAAGGTAAGTGACCATTTTTACTTAAATATACATATTTAATAAACAAAAACATTGGATAGTTCTCAATGTGCTCTTTGTTAAATTGTTTGTTTAATACTATTACAAAATCATTTAGCAATCAATTAATATGTCAAATGTCGAACAAATATATTAGTGGAGAACATACAGAGAAATCTCTACATATATTATTATTATTATAAATATAAGTTAATTTCTTATGTATTATATTATTTAACACAAAATTCATTTTATTTTTAAATTAAATATTACCATATATATAATATATATATGAACATTAATAATTTGTCATTTAATATCAATTTTATTATTTATTTTATAATAGAATTATCATATAAACTTAATTTATTAACTATGTGTTAATGATTCTACTAGTATTGAACAAACAGATAAATAAAGGGTATATATAGCCATATTTACTAATATATTATAATGTTATTACAAAAAATTATTCACTATTTATAAGTTACACTTAATATTAATTTTATCTTTTTTTTTAATCTTAATTCAACATATACATTATTAATTTTTTAATTTCCCTTTCCAAAATATTACTAGAGTATTGAGAAAACAAGTTAATAAATGGCATATGTATTTGCCTTTACTAATTTAATTAATGTAAAAATTATATCTATTCCACAAACCAGTAAATTTTATAATTACAATTTACTTTGCGAGTACTTATTTTTTTTAAGAGAAATTTATTTAACAAAAATCCTATATTTTTATCAGAAATTTAAATATTCATAAAATATTGAATTTTGAGAAAAAAAATTTTAATAATAATTTTATGAATAGTTATCCAGAAAATTATTACTTCTTTTAAATTAATTTATATAAAAATTTAAATACAATTTAAATTACATTGCTCTAGTCGATAAAAATTTTGTTCCTCAAAATATAGATTTTTCTTCTATAAATGACCTATAAATTATATTATTGACCCATCTTCAGTAATATTTAAATAAATAAAATAAGTAAAAACATTTTTATTTTTAAGTATTTTAAAATACTCGGAAAATACACATACGTATTCACATAAACTAAAAAAAAAAAATAAGTACACAAAGATTATGTACACTAAAAGAAAATACATACACTAAAAATAAATATAATAAAAAAAAACATACTTTCCCTAAAGATAAGTACTCTAAAAAAAAAATGTAGATATATTTTATTATATTTTTCTTTTCTTTGTATGCTTATAAAAACATTTATATTTTTTTTTTGGTATATAAAGATAATATAAAAAAAAAATTATTCTATTTCTTTGGGATAATGATGATGTGAAGTACTTTTTTTATACAAGATCAAAAATGTAATGTTAAAAATTACATCTATAGAGTATCTATAAATTAACTAAAATAGTAGTTAACTAATGTAGTTAATATTTGATGTTAATTAAAAAAAAGCAAATAATTTACTTAATATTTTTATTATTATAAAAATAAAACAAGTAGAGTTTTCTCTAAATGTTCTATTAATTTGTTTTTTCAATACTAATAAAGTTATTTAGATAAAAAATAATAAATCAATAAACAGAAATATATTTGGAAAAAAAATTAAAATAATAAAAAGTAAAAATAATTTTTATTCTATTTTATTTTTAAACTAGATAATGTAAATGACTAGCTTTATATTTTCTATATAGCTACTAATTAGTATTCCAAAAAGGTTAATGTTCTTTGCAAAAAAATACGTAATTAATATTATACACAACCTCATGATATTCACTACTTGTCTGGTTAATAAAAGGCTTTATTAACCTTTTTATAAAATGAAGGGACTAGTTAAATGAAGAATACGAAATTTGTCATACACACACAAAAAAAAAAAAAAAAATGATCAATTTTTTTTTTTTTTGTACTTTTTTTTTAAAAAAAGTACAAAGACAGTCAGGAAAAAAAATTGATAAAAAAAAAAAAAAAAGGAATTTTTATTTTTTGGAATGAAATATAATTTTGATGAATTTTGTAAAAGAAAATTTTATACATATAACAATAAAATTTTCATGTAATTAATATTTATATAATTTTTTTTGTATTGTCAATAATTGTTTATGTTTGTTAATTCAACAGCAATACATATTATTGCTGAATGTAACTCATAACATATAAACAAGTAATTTACATTTAATTAATAATCAATGTTCAATAAGGATTTAAATTTTTAATAAAAATAAGGATTTTTATTAAAGTAAATAAATGCCTATTGAAATCAAAGGATGTTGAATGAAGTAGATTATATAATTAAGGATCACTCGTTCAAAGCATTTAAAAATATATATAAATACATCGGAACCTTAAAGGCAACTCTACATGCTCTTTATTAATTTGTTTGTTCAGTACTCTAGCAAAGTCACCGAACACCCAATTAATAAATCATTGCCATATTATAATTTATGCAAAAATTAATTTTATCTATCTAAAAAAAAAAAAATATATTTTATTTCTAAGAATTGAATAAAATTAAAAAAAATTGTCACGTACAAAAACATTTAATACAGTTTAAGTATTTTAATCTACCTATTGTTTAGAATTCTTACTTTATATTTACATATTTTAATATATTTATATTTTTTTGATACATTACATAGTTTCTAATAAATGGAATTATTAACCTTTTTGAAAATAAAAAATTAATAGGAATATGAAAAAAATATAGTTATATGTACAATCGTTAGACAATAAGAAAAAAAAAAAATTTCATTTTTTTTTTTTTTTTTTAAGAAATTAAAAAAAAGTGAATCCTAAGAATTAATTTAGTTTGATATTCTAAAGGAAAATTTGGAATTAGCAATAATAAAATTTTCATATTTGTAGTATTTATATAATTTAATTTGTATTCTATTAATTATTTATGTTTGTTAATTTAAGGGTAAAGGATTTCAATTACCAAACATTACTTTTAACAAAGTAGAAATGTGTGTAATTCAAAATTGATAATTAATGAGGATTTAAATTTTTAATAAAAATATTAGATTTTTATTAAAGTTAATAAGTATTTCTTAAAAAAAAAATGTTCAACAAAGTAGATTATATAAATACAGTATACTGATTTAAACTTTTAAAACTAAATTTAAATTCATTAAATTAGTAGAGGAAATTTTACATTATCTTCATTAATATGCTTGTCCATTACTCTAGCAAATTCATTGAATAGACAATTAATAAATTGCTAGATTATAAGCTTCTCTAACTAGTCATTTTCTTTATAATTACTAGCTATCATATTATAAAAGGTGAATACTGTATATTATTAATCTGCAACAAAATATTAAAAGATTTCCAAAAAAAAAATTATGAATCCATAAGTAAATAAAAAGAATCTTTTTTATTAGAAGTTAAAATATATGAAAACAAATATAAAAAAAAAAACACATGAATAAAATAGTTTATTCATATAACTAATAATGAAAAGTTGTTTTAAAATAAGATTCTTAGAATTTTAACTATAATAACATTCATTATAATAATTTTGATATACATAATAAATTCTTAAACTATTATTATTTATTGTATTAATTTTATTCTATTATTTATATTTGAATAATTTTTGAATTTTTATCAATATTTTTTTAGAATCATGTTTTATTAATTGCCTGTTCGGTGACTTTGCTAGAGTACTAAACTAACAAATTAATAAAGAGCATGTTAAGTTATCTTTACTAATCTAATTAATTTAGTATAATTTTAATTGTTATAAATCAATAAACTTTGTATTAAATACATTGTTGAGAATTTATTAGTTTATAAGTATTTACTTAATCTAATAAGAATTTCATTATACTTATTAAAGACATAAATCCTCATTAATTATTTAATTGTGCTTATATATTTTTAATTATAATATTACGAATAATGTTTAACACTTAGGTATATTGTGTTAAAATTAACAAACGTACACAATAAAATACAAATTAAATTATATAAATAGTACACACATGATTTTTTATTATTATTTATGTAAAATTTTTTCTTAAAAATTCAGAATATAAATTCATTACTAAAGAAATTCTTTTGCCAAAAAAAAAAAAAAAAACACTTCTGATCTTTTTCGATCATTTTTTTTTTCCCCATCCTTTAATCTTTTTCAAAAAAAAATAAATATATTTTTTTACGTATTTGATATTATAAACAGGAAAACAAAAAAAAATTACTTAATAATTTTTTTTTCTATTTAAAGCTTGCATGTCTATCTATATGTTTTCCATATAGGTAGTTATTTTCATTCTAAAAAAAGGTTAACTATTCTTTTTATTAACAAAATAAAAAGTTACCATTATGTTGTTATTTTCTTTTCGTACCAATAAAATTAAATAATGTATACTATTAACAAAATCTTTTGATTGACCTTTATTGTCCATATATAATCCTTTATTGAATATTACAATACTAAAAATTTTCTAAAAATTGCGTATCGATAAGGCAGAAACATTATTTATGTTCAACGAATCTACCAATTTAATGTTTCTTTATCTTTATAATTATACATATTAATATTTTTATAAAATATTTCATAATATTATCATTAAAATCTGTGTTAAATAAAATAGAGTAAATTCTTTTTAATTTAACTTAATAATCATATTAAACAATTCTTTTTAGAGTATCATGTATACATCATATGAATAGAAAAATTTTTTAATAATTGAATCTTAGTGTAATTTTTATTTATATTATTTATTAATTAGTTGTTTTATCTTTTAAATTCCCCTTCAATGACTTTTCTAGTATTTAACAAACAAATTAACAAAAAGTATAGAGAAAAAGATTATTTTATTTTTATTAAATTAAATTATTAAGAAAAATATATACTTTTATTTATTAATATCTAATATTAATTACATTATTTAATTTGCTATTTTTAATTTGTACAATATTCTATGTATATCACACTTTACATTACATTCATAATCTTTCATAAAAAAAAAATACTCTGTATCATCGCCATCTCATAGAAAAAAAGAAAATTAAAATAAAATCATTGTTATAAAAATTGTTTTTTTTTTAAAAGAAAGCATTACATACAAAAAAAAAAAAAAAATAATAAAATATATCTATATTTTTTTAGTGTATTTTCTTTCTGAGTATGTATTTTTTTTTTTTTAATCTACTTATAAAGAAAGTATTTTTTTTTTGTGTACTTATTTTTATTTTACTGCATGTATTTATTTATGCGCATTTCTAGCGAATTATAGCATGGAAAAATAAAATTTTCCTCCACTTTTTTTCTTTAAATATTATCAAAAATAGGTTAATAATATTATATATAGACCATTATTAGAATAATTTTATAACATAAGATACCAAACAATCAATTTAATTGAATATGTAGAAAAATCTCTAATTGTTTTATTTATCATAAAGACGCATATTATAGATAATTATATACTCTTCCTATAATTGTACTATATAAGTTGTCTATAAATAATATTAGACCTCTTTTGTATAACATTTAGATGAATAAATAAAATAAAAACACTTTATTTTGTGCATGCTCAACTGCACGGATAGTATGCAATCATAAAAATGTACATTAAAATAATTACTGAAAAAATTTTTACATTAAAAAAAAAATATATACTTGCACTAAAAATGGGTACACAAAAAATGAAAATAAATAAAAAAATTTTTTATATGTGTATATTTGCATTTAAAAAAAAAATATATCATATATATATATACATATATATTTATTTTTTTTGGTATATGATGTTAACTTAAAAAAAATATTATCATGATATTTTTTTTATTATTTTCTTTTTTCTTTACTTTTAAAAAAAAAAAAGAAATTAAATATTTTTGTTTGAATATGCGAATTGCTATTGAATATGTATTTTTTTTTTTAAGTTAAAAAGCAATATTAAAGAGATTACATTTTGGAGTGTTGTGTAAATTAAAAAAAAAAAAAAATTAACTGATAAATAGCATTTGATGTTAATTATTATAAATAAATATTTTAAATTAAAATTTAAATTGAATTGAAATTAAATTGAGTATACTTTACATTCCATTTATTAATTTGTTTGATTCTAGCAAAATCATTGAACAAGTAATTAATAAATTAACAAGATAAATAAATTTAGTTTTTACATTGTTTTTATATATATTTTTCATTACTTCATGAAAAACCATTATCTATTATTTTTAAAATTTACATCATTGACATACTGGCATTAAAGTAAAATAAAAAAAAATTACAACTCTTTTTCTTTTATGTGCATAAATTAATATACATATATGTTATTATAACTATGTAATTATGAATATTTTTTTTAGGTTTATCCTCCATATAAGTTTTATACATAGTCAGTAAAAAGTACTATGACATTTTTGAGATTTTATGTTATATAAATGAATTATTTCAAAGAATTTTCATTGCATGCAAAGTAATTAATATATATATATATATATATATATATATATATATATATATCGAATTATTTCTGAAAATATGTACAGCAATATTCTGTATTATTGATAAACCACAAAATAGTTTACCAAAATGTGCTTTTGAAACGAAATAGAGACATAATTATAAATATTTACATTATAAAAAAAAAATGTATTGCGATAAAAAAAAATGATAAGTTTTTACAATTTTTTTTGAAAGAAATGAGAAAAGTGATAGAAATTATGTAATATATAAAATAAATATGCTTATTTTGTCTTAAATAGATCATTTTACTAATAGTATATAATTATATAAATATTTTTATTTTATAATATGTAATTACATAAAAGGCATTTAATAAATGACACTACGTGAATTTACCATATGCTAAATAAGTAGGAATCTCTCTATATGCTCCTAATTAATTTGACTATCCAAACAGTGTAAAAGTGTTTTAACAATCAATTAATAAATCATTGTATTAGAAAATTTTATATATAAACCTTTTCGTCATGTTAAAATTTAAAAAGTGGCAATTATATTTGTAAAAGAAAAAGTTCTATTAGCACACAATTATTTCCTTCTTCTAAAAAAAAATACATTTTCTATAGAAAATTATTCTTTATTTTTTTTAATATGTAAAGTTTCAATGTCGTTATTATTTTCATTTACTGATTTATTAGTTTCCTGTTCATTGAACTCACCAAAGTAATGAACAAATAAGTTAATAAAGAGAATGTGGAATTTCTTCTACTAGTTTAATTGACTTATATACTATATTAATATTAACACCAATAAACTATATTTATGCTGTTTACTTCGTTGAGCATTAATAGTTTTCATGAAGAATTTATTTGTTTTAATAAAAGTCCTATACATTGATTAAAAACATAATAACTTATTAACTATTGATTTTTAAATATAAAATCTCTTAATTATGATTTTATTAATTACGTTTATCAAGTTTATTTTTTTCATATTAACAAAAATAAGTGTATGCTTAACACAAATTTAAATTATATAATTATTTTAAGTAAGAAAAATTTTATCTTTTAAAGGAAATAAAATTTTTCCTAAGAATCTCAAAAGAAAATTCTTTCCCCATAAAAAAGTTAAAATTTAAAAAAAATATATTAACTTACTGGTTAATAAAAGGTGTTAATAATCTTTTTGAGAATAGAAAGTAATAGCTGTGTGAAAAATAAATAGTTGGCCATGCAAATACTAAGGAAAAAAAAAGCTATTGACTAAAAAGTTTCTTGTGGTATATTTTGTTTAAATTTATTTAAGAAAATTTAAAATTAACAATATTAAAATTTTCGTATTTCGTAATATTTATATAATTTATTTTGTGTTTTTTGAATTATTATGTTTGTTTATTTGAAAGCAATGGATATGAATTGCTAAGTATTATTAATAGCATTACAAATAAAATATATACAATTAAAATCGATAACTAACAAGTATTTAAATTTTTAATAAAATAAAGATTTTTAATAAAAAAATTCATCTTAATATTAAAGACAACAAATACTCAATTATGCTTCTATGTATAAAACAATTTACTGGTTTATAACGTTTAGAATTATAATTAAATTCATTAAATTAGTGGAAGAAATTCTACATGTTCTTTACTAATCTGTTTGTTAAATCTCTAACAAATTCTCAAATAGGCTACTAATAAATCACTCATATAGGATATATGAGAAAAACTCGCATATTGAAATGCGATCGTTCCAATGTATTAATTTTAAATAATGAATACATTAAAAATACATGTACTGAATTGTATGTTTTGATATAAAATCATCTTTTATTTATTTTTTTCCTATAATTTATGAAACCGCATAAAACGTGTATAATATTAATTATATAGTGTAATTATAAAAATTTAAATAAATACAGTAAAATTTATTATAAAAAGTAAATAAATTAAATTAAATTAAATTAAATTAAATTAAATTAAATAATATAATAAGTAATTAATTATTATTTATAATTTTTAATATCATAACAAATAAAATTAGATATTTGTCTATATACTTTTTATTGATTAGTCAAATAATTTTAAAGGTTTTTGAGTGACCAATTAATAAATCATAATATCATTAAAAACAAAAATATATGCGTAATAATTAAGAATTAAAAAATTAATTATTAATAAAAAGAGAAAAAACATATAAAATTTAAGACAATGTAAAATTGAATATTTTTGTTTTTATTTATATATAACTTTTTTTTTTAAAATTTAATCTGTAAATATATATGACATTATGTTCCACATATGATATTATTTTCTTGGAAGTTTTTAATTGCACATAAAAAAAGTAAAATCTCATTTTTTCTTAGTATTACTTTTTGATTAGAACTAAAGTAAAGATCTTTGGACATAATCAATTCTTCATTTAACAAATATATTAATTTATTAAAGACCTTAAACCTATCTGTACTATTTTTAAATTTTTTTAATATATTGGATATATCTTCAAAGATGAAATTAAGTTTATATAAAAAATTGTTTTGATCATAAATTTCCATAAATTTGAACATTACATTAATAGATTTATTTTCTGGAATAAATACAAAATCTTCTGATTTTTTAAAAAAATTTATAAATGCTCTTCTATGAAATATACTTCCTCCCGATTCATTTTTAAGTAATTTTATAAAATTCTCATATTCATCTATTTGTTTCTTACATAATAATGAATATACAATAACATTAAATAATTTCATAATTTCTTTTTTATCAATTAATCCATAAAGCTTCTTTACTAACGATCTAATACCCCAACTGTTGACATCAAAACCAAAAATAGCCTCAATATATATTTTAAATTCAAGTAAGGATTTTTTTATGTAATCTCTCTCATGTAATAATAAAGTATATATATCGTGTAAAATTTTATTCTTATATAGTTCTTCTCCGTAATTTTTTTCAATATCATCCAATTTAAATTTATTTTCAGTTCTAACTATTTCAAGTACGTATGCAATAAAAGCTATCATACATTTTATATCACCACATAATATCTTATTTAATTTTATAAATAATGCATGAGTTTTTTCTTCTATAACGGTATCTAACGCTTTGCGTTCATCATCGATTAAGGATTTTAAATATCCAACATTTAATTCAAGATATGAAGTTGTACTAATCCCTTTTCTTTCTCTATCACAAAACATCGAAGTAACAAATTCCTTTAAAAGATTCTTCATTCTAATTACTTGTAATTGAGTATCCACAGAAATATTTTTTCCATAAAAATATTTCAATGGGAACCTACTTTCATTTATTCCAAAATATTTACTAAGGTATGTATTGCTAGTCAAAACTTTTTCAGTAATTTCAGATAAATACGTATTATTTTTTTCATTTAATTCACTAAAATAACGAAAGGAATTTTTTAATTTTAAAGGAAGGTTCCCATTCAATTTAGACTGTTCTAAATATTTTTGTAAATCTTCCCCATTAATTAATACAAACGTGCTATTCTCACGAATACGCAAAGTGAAGGTTACATTCAAAAATTTATTTAATTCATATTTATCATATATGTCAAGACCTTCAAATATTTTATCTATATTATTTTTTGCATCATTAATCGAACTCTGGAAAAAATTTAAAAATTCATAGTTGATGATTTCCAACGTGTTAAGTATAGAATTAACATACGTTTTTTCTTCTTTTATGTATTCATTGTAATTTGTTAAAAATATTATATCTATTAATTTTACAAATAAAGTTCTTGAATCTTGAAAACAAACTTCAGTCGATGTATTTTCACTCTTATTTACATGGATGTTATACAACAATTGTAAATCCTTTATTGAGATACCTTGATCATTTAAGATATCTTCATCTTTAACATCACAAAAATCCGTTAAATTTCTTATTAATTGTGTTTTCGCGTGCATAAATTTAAGTTGAAACCTGATAAAATATAAAAAAAAAAATATTTTCAAATATATTACAAACATGTAATTTTTTTTTCTTATAAATTAAATTAAATACTTCTTTGTTTTGTAGTATGGACTAATTTCATAGAAGGAAATAATTATCATTAATACAATCTATAAAGGATTAAAAAGAAAAAAAAGATTATAAAACTCATTTCTTTTATGTAATTTAAATATTTATTACTAAGAAATTAAAATAGTAGACTAAAACTAAATGGTTTTCCATTTGATTAAGGAATAATTATTTCTACTTTTATGAGACATTTAAGCTTAAATTATTTACAATAAAATTTGTTTTTCTATTCTTCTCATATGTATAATAAAAAAAATTCTCTTACCTAAATTTTTCCTTCTTTAGGAAATTGGATAAACTTGCTTATCATAAAAAATAAAACATTCTTTGTTATTAAATTTAAAGTATAAAGATATTTAAAAATTTTCTAAATATTATTCAATATTTATTTATTTTTCTAACAAATACACATATTTTAAAATAGCATCTTTTTAAATATAGTTAAAACAGTAATGAATTTATGAAAGACCTGAAGTTTCTTTTTGCATTTATCTAAACTATATATATATATATATATATATATTCTCATAGCTTATTATACTAAATTAGAATTAACATTCTATATTAAACACATTCAATTTTATTATTTTTTCAGTTTTATTTATTTCATTCTAGAAGGTACATAATCAATTTCTTAAAATTAAAACCATAAAATTTAACTCTTTAGAAAATTTCCATCAACAAATTCAAAAGGAAAAAACTTATAAGAAATTTTTAAATAAAATAATATATTTTATCCTATATTTATAGATAAACATTCTAAATTGTAATTTATTTTTATTTTCTTCAATTTTATCTTTTTTTTTTTTAGATGAAAAACATAGACCAATTCATAATATAAAATGCTTTATTTATTTAAATAAAAAAGAAACCAAATATGATAAATAAACTTATCACTGAAGTTTTTTCAAATAAATTTTAATCTGTTTCTTTAGTAAAATTTAAATAATATTTTTACAGAGTAAATTAAAATGTATATAATCATTTATAAAAGAAAGCTTTGATTAACGTTTTAATATATTTAATATTCTTGATAAAATTAACATGCAATAAAATTTTTTTTTAATATATTCATAAAAAAGAAAGTTCTTTTGAATAATTTACATAGCATTATAGTGTGTAAAAAACGTATTATAATTAAAATTTATATATTTTATATTCTTTTATATTTATATATATTTAAATATAACACACATTTTTGAGTTTGAATTAAATTTTATTATAAAAATATGTGTGATTATGTAATAAGTTTAATTTTTTGATTTAATACTATTGTTCATTTTAATTTTAATTTTTTACATTATCTTGCTTTCAGATTAACTATCATTTGCTCAATTATTATTTATTATGGTTAATGATAATATTTTATTGAAACTTTATATTATTGGATTTAACATGATTGTTTCCTAGTTTCGTGTAAAATACATATATAAAAAAAGTTTAACTTATTTTATCTTAATAACTATTAAACATAAATTACTTAAAAAAAATAAATCAACTAACTTTTATTTTATTTTCTTTTATCTAATTTAAATTTAAAAAAAAATAAGTAAAATCTTAAATTTTTTTTTTTTTTCTATAGGGGCAAAAATTTTTCACTTCGTGTGAAATTAAAATCTTTAATGTATAACTAAAAAAATTGGTACAATTATTTACAATAATGTAATCTTTAATTTATTAAAAAATATCTTATTTTATACTTATGAATAGTTTATTAAATTTCATGTTTTGAATTTTTATAATAAAAATAAATATTTATATAACAAAAAAAATATATTTTATATAAATTTTAAAATAATTATTTAATTTATCTCCGAAAATTTTCTGCGTAATCACTATAATTCACATTATATTTTGTAAAAATAAATTTAAGCGCATAAAAAGGTTAATAAACTATTTTATTTATATAACACTTGTTATGAAAGTGTAAAATATTAAATTATTTTATTAAATATAAATGAAATTCTTTTTTTTTTTTTAAAGCAAAATATATATGTTTATATGCTCCTGATAAATATAAATATTATTGACAATTTTAAATAATACAAAAGGTAAGATAAAGCTATAAACTTATTTGTGTATGAAGATTGTTCGAGAAAATTATTTAAATATTTAGTTTATAATATCATTATAGAATATATAAACTAATAAAAAATGCTTTTTTTTTTATGGGTATTTTACAAGTTAATAATTATAGAAGATAAGATTTTCATATATTTATTTTATTTAATTTTTTTGTACATTTAGTGATAATTCATGGTTTTTTCACAAATGATAATTAATATGTTATCAAACATTTTTATATCTTAAATATTTCGTTTTTCATAAAAGTAAATTCAGAATATTTATGAATCTATATGAAATCCTTAAATAATAAATATAATCAATATTTTTAAAAGTTAAATAGAACCAAATGGAATAGAGCTAAAAGTTGAGTTGTGCACGTTAAAAATTTTGCAAAATTTGTATTAAAAAAATGTTTACACCTATCATGTTCAATTAAATAAATACTTAAAAATATTTATATTAAAACATGTATTCAAAAAAATATATCTTTTTATTTCTTTTATTTTTATGGAACATTAATGCATATTTATACAAAGATAATAATAAACTTTTTTTTATTGAAGAATTAATTGATAAGCAATTAATAATAAAAAAAGATAAAATTTTATCACTTACGAGAATTATTTTTGATAAAAGATAATATTTATATATATTATATTATCAATTATATTTATATATTTAGTATGTAAGTTTTATAAAAAGTAAAATTTTTAATAAAACTATATAAATATTTTATCAAACAACTCTTATATAGTGCAATAAAATATTTAATATAACTTCAATTGAAGAACTATAAATATCTTATTAAGTTATTTATTTTACGTCACACTTCGTAACTATACAGATATTATATATAAATAATTTTAAAATAAATAAAATTAGTAGAAATTACTTTATATGTGATTAATAAAAGGCTTTATAAACCTTTTTGACAGTAATTACTAGCTGTATGGAAAATATTTAGCTATCTATACAAACGTTTATAAAAAATAAATTCTGAAAATTAATCACATTTGATATTTTAAAGGAATATTTGACATTAACAATAATGAAATATTTATATCTGTATTTCTTATACAATTTAATATATATTCTATTAATTATTTTTGTTTGTTAATGAGATCATTGGATTTTAATTGATAAACAATTTTCATAATATTACAAGTAAAATATATGTAATTAAAAATTGTCAATTAATTAAGATTAAAATTTTCATTAAAGGAAATAAATTCCCTTTAAGAACAGTAAGCGCCTAATGAAATGGACTACATAAATACATTTCACTGGTTTATAAAATTATAATTAAAATTTAAATTCACTAAACTAGTAAAGGAAACTCTACATCCTCTATTAAAGTAAGTGAATAGACAATTAATAAGTCAACATCCCATATATTAATTTGTTTCAATAAAACTTTATCAAACTTATTGAACATTTGATCAATAAAAAGTAGTGTCTAACTATTTTTAATTGTAATTATAATGAATATAAAATAATTAAAACTTTACTTTTATGTATAAAATATAGTATACTAATTTAAAAGAAATATGTACATTATATAATACGCTTTGTTATATGTACGATAATTTTATTTTTTTTTTTTAATTTTTTTTTTTTTTTGAAAAAAGCATTTAATTACTTTTTTAATAATTCTAAGTATAATGTTAATTGATTGGTGTATTCATTAACTCAAGTATAAAATAAATAATAAAGCTAATATTAAGTTATAAATTATTTAAAAGCTATATAAATATGGTAAAGTTTATTTCAAAAAGTAAAATAAATTTTGTCTTAAATATAGAATAATTTACAAGTAATTAATTATCATTTATAATAAGTAATATTATAATAAATAAAATAAGTATAGATTTCTCTACGTACATTATATAATATTGATTATTCAAAGAAATGTAGAAGTTTTTGAATAATCATTTAATACATCATTATACAAAAAATAAACTTGCTAATTAATTACACTATTAAGAAGCATGAACTAAAGTAAATTACGAATTTACTTAGTTAAAAACATGAGTCTTTACTCATGACATTCACATAGCATGTAATAATCATTTCAAGTAAACATAAAAATAATAATTTTTCGCAAATTACATTTTAATTTTATTTTATGTTACTATATATCCCATTACCGATGTTTTTCTCTCCTTCTCTTAGGATATTTTTTATTATGTTTATTTTTGTAGATTTAAGATATATCTCTTAAAGATTTATTGCTTTATATCATTACAAAAATTTATGTATGTAAATAATGAAATAAAGTTAAAAGATATAAATTTATAAAGAAAATATATCTATAATAATGGAAATCTCATAAATTTAGGGTATTTCGAATTTTGTGAGATATTTTATTCAACTAAATTATTTTAGCCAATATGCCTTTTTTTTCACATAGCTCTTATCATTTCATTAACAAAGGATGTTGTGGTATAAAAGGAGGTTTACATGCTTTTTATTATCCATCTTAACATAAAAGTTTGATTTTTATGTTGAATTAAACAAGAAAACCAAGACATAAATAATTAAAGCAATTTTTATTTTTAAGGTTTATATTATTCATTTAACACAAATAGTGATCATATTTAGAAGTTCATTTTATTATTTATACCATTAGTTAATGTATATTATTAGTTTCTTATGAAATAATATTAAAATAAAAAGTTAGATATACACATACTATATTTAAAATAATATATAAAAAGACTAAGAAAAAATTTGTTCTATAATTTTATACATAAAAATAAATTTATTATTTTTTTTTTTTTGTTAAAATAATTTTATTTTTTCTAAATTATATTTAATTTTTTAGTATTAATAAAAAATTTCTTTGTTTTAATTTTGAGTTTATTTTAAAAATAAAATTAATTCTTAAGAAAAATGCGGAAATTTATAATAATGCTTTAAATAATTTTTAAGAAAAACTATATATTTTTATGAAAGACTATTTTTCATATAATTATAGATTTCCCTAATTTAAATATGTAAGCTATAAAAAAAAAAAAGTAAAATTTTTATCAAACTTTTTGTATGTCTTATAAATTAATTAATGTTTTAAGCATAAATAAAATGCT